CTAGTCAATTCAATTGAACGCTTATGACTCGCACGCAAACCTGAGGAAGATAAATAATTAATTGAAAGTCACATACAAATTTGGATCGAGCTTATAAAAGTGATTTCTCGGCGCTCTTGTGAAGTATATGGCAAATGCCAAATTTAAAACAAAATTTTTTTATGACGCAACAAATTCTTTTTAAGATGCAAAAAATTCTTTTTATGACGCAAAAAACTCTTTTTATGACGCAAAAAATTCTTTTTATGACGCAAAAAATTCTTTTTATGACGCAAAAAATTCTTTTTTTGACGCAAAAAATTCTTTTTATGACGCAAAAAATTCTTTCTTTGACGCAAAAAATTCTTTTTTTGATGATTTTTCGTAAGATTCAAACTTAATCAGATTTGATCAAACATTTCAAATGGTAATTTGCTATTAAATAGCAAGTGTAATTTACTTACAGTAAGTTGTTTTAATAATAACTAGTAAATTGCAAGTAGTAGAATAGAAAGACTAGCAATTTGCTAGTTATCTCGCTAGGGATAGCAATTTAAATATTCACAAAAAACAAAGTATTCATCAATTATGTGACGAGATCGTTGCTACTAAAATTCAGCACCGATTTAAACCTGCATGAATTGTAAGAAGTTGAATTTGCCAAAAAAATAAAATGAAAAAAAAGAAGAAATTAAATAAACGAAGTGGACAACAAGCTAATAAGAACAACCGATGAAATCAAAAGGATGTTCCATTTCAATTACTCACTTACTTCGCTGGCCGTTCAGATCAATTGTGATCAATAGATTTTAATGTGTACCGAACGGGAGATATAGAACTGTAAAGATTAATGCTTGAATTTTGATTTAATTTCTAGGAATGTAAACTGGACATCGAATTTTCGTTATCTGATTTTGCTAGCTTTTAAGTGCGAGTGGATCTGACAATTAACGGCATAATATTGATGCATAAGATATATAAATTCGACGGAATGTCAGAATATTTAAACAATTGTTGAAAGTCGCAGTAATAGTAATAGAAGGAAGAGAAATTTTTTGAAAGTGAGAAATTAGAAGCAACTGATACCATTATTAAGGAAGAAGCATCTACAGTTTCAAGTTCTGCATCGCCTTGTCAACAGAGAATTTTAAAACCGACTTTTTTTAGGAAGTGTGGCTAATTTTTTTTAAACCCTCTTATTTTTATTTTTGTGTCTACAAATGGAGAAAACGCCCCACCGTCCTGCCCAAATTTTTTTCGGCCTTTAAATCAATAGATATTTTAAAACCTTTTATCTCTTTGTTCAAAAAAGCTAAAACGTGATATATTAATTGTTTAATTCAATTGAAATGGATGCAAATATTAGCTATTAATCAGAAAATCAAGGATCTGAATGATGAGAGAAACTTATTTCTACAAAAGATGAATACAATGGAGCTTCACCGAATAATTCTATAAGATCAAAATAATTAATTAAGGCATGCAAATGATAATCTTGCTAAATTGAGAGAATTATAAATGATGACAAATATGGTGTTAGATATTCAATCTGGAAAAATTCCGCCATGACTTGAACAAAATGAACAACTGAAAATAAGGTATTGATTGAGTCATATTTGCTCGGATTTGCTCCAAACCTTAACAAAAAATCATCACATAACATTCAAGCACATCTAAACTGAAGTGAGCAAATAGAAGCAGCTGATATAAATATTAAGGAAAAATCATTGCCAGTTACAAGTTCTGCATTGCCATGTTTACAAGGTTTTAACAACAATCAACAAGAAGCTGGAATATTTTACAACGAATTGAAAAAGGAGAACGAGGAATCAGACTCAAGCAGTCTTTGGGAAGAGATCAAATCATTTTTGGGGCTAATATGTGTGGTAATTTTTTGCTTTGTTCGAAAAATCCAAAACGTAAACTTTCATCCACTTGCTTTGACGACGATTTAACACAAAGGTCAGTTAAACTTTATAATTTATAATCTCAGTTTTTAGAATCATCAGCATGGAGCCACAAGCAATCAACAATAAAACACATATTATCTCTTTGAGCTATGTAATGAAAAAATTGTGCAAATGCTCAAAGTCAATTGCTAGCAATCAACGTAAGGAGTGAAAAGTTCTTGTTCTAAGAGTAATACTAATCATCAATTTGTTGAGATTGCGGTTTTTTAACGTCCTCTCAAGATCCCAGTAAAGAGCATGTTCAACAGCATCCTCTAATTATCAGAGATCGAAGCCGATTTTTTCGGCTTAACTCAATTTTTGATTTTTATGATAGAAAAAAGCCATTTAACACCCATTTTAAGTATTTAAATTGAACTTTATATGCTTTACTATGATTCTGTGTAATATTTTGTCAGCATGTAGCTATAGGAAGCTGAGAATTTCAAGTTAGCCGATTTTAAGCCGATCGGCTTAAATTTCGGCTTAACATTCTTTAACTTGAAATTCTGAACTTCCTATAGCTACATGCTGACAAAATGTTACACAGAATCATAGTAAAGCACATAAAGTTCAATTTAAATACTTGAAATAGGTGTTAAATGGCTTTCTTCTATCAAAAAAATCAAAAATTGAGTTAAGCCGAAAAAATCAGCTTCGATCTCTGCTAATTATAAATAACTTGCATGCAAGTTTTTATTTCATAATCTTTTATATACTCACAAGAGCTTGATCAGAAGAGTTTATAAAAATCATGATCATTCACATCCTCATGAGATTATGCTAAAATTTTTCTTGCTATATACTTCACAAGCGCTAGCAGAAATCACTAGTATAACTCCTATATACTTCACAAGATTAAGCAGAAATCACTATTATAAGTAATTATTTTGGACTTTCTATAGTTTAAATATGTCTTATCGCCATTTGAAAGTTATTCAATTTCAGAAGGCATTAGACAAGATGAACAGTTATCAGGACAAACTACAACACGGCGTACTCGGGTTCGAATCACGGCAATCACCAAAAAATAATAATTATATCAATTTCTCAAAAACATGATCAAGAGCACAATCACAAGATCATAAAATTTTTTAAATAGTAAAATTAAAGCATGATTAGCAGAACATGTTCTTGATCATGTTCTCAAGTTTAGCTTGCATGTGAAATTTGCAAGTAAAAAGCGTACTCTTGAGAGCGTGATTTCTGTGGTACCCTGCTGCGATCTCCATTTGTATTGGAGAGTACGCTAATTTAGCGTCATCAAATTAAAAAATTAATTTTTAAAAATCATGCTCAGATCATGCTCTTTGTCTGTTAGGGGCAGTTTCCAGAAATAATTTACTCCCGCCTTAATCTATTTTTAAACTTTTAGACTCGTCTAAAAGCATTTCTATAAATAATAAAGAAGAATATGCCCCACCGTCCTGCCCAATTTTTTTTTGGACACTTAGAGTCCTTACATTTTGTTGAAAAAAAAACAAAGACAAACGGGTTTTTTCGAGTCGACTCAACTTTTCTCGGAGTTGTCTTCGAGCTCTGGTCAAATCAATTTCAATAATATACGCACTTTGCGTGAAAGTCAATAACTTACACTGTTTGCGTGGAAGTTAATAAAAATATTTACAGGAAACATATTCGAGAACTTCCTCAACATTTATTTTTCTTTAATACTCATTCAGCAATAAAAGCTATAAAATCATAATCATAACTGAAATGTCAAGAATGGCGTTTATACATGAAAGCCTTTCTCCATAAATTGCTTTTTCATTACTCTTAATGAGATTGTAATATACACATTGTACTGAATACTAATCTCTTTGATTATGTTTAACATACAAAATTATGATATTGATTGGAACGATCGTGATGACACGCAACATATGAGCATTGATACAAGAAATGATGAACCTGCGGATGAAGATGACATAATATCCTAAGTAAAAAGATATTATCATATGCTTAAATCACTTATGTCGAAACTTCAACCTCACCCCTATTTGATTCAAGTGATAAGTAAACTTTATAAAGTCCATTGAAAGTCTTAAACAATAAATTCATTATTTATTATTTCCACTGAAAATATGATTAGGTCTTTTAAAGTAACAATAACTTAAACACCAATGTACAAGAAATCAAAGAAAAATCAAAAAGATGCTGTAATTGTCGCATTAATAACTTCCTGTGTGAATAATATGCGACATATATGTTCATATATAAAATTCTTGTCATTTTCATGCATGCGAAATAAAAATAAAGATCATAAATTCCCTTACGTCTCTTCTTCATTCCTTAGGCTAAATAAGAAATGAAATAAAAAAAAATGATAACAACAATCATTCAATCCGCAAGTGCTGTTAAATTGTAGTTGTGTTATGTTGTGAATGACGTGGAATGGAAGAATTTGCAAAATAAAAAGAAAGAAAGAATTGAGAGAGCATAAGAAGAGAAATGTGCGCATGGCAAAGAGTTTAAGTTGTTCTGCAAATTTTCATTTGATCTTCACAATAAGCCCGTTAAGAACAAGTCCAGAAATACTGTAGCATGATGCATATTTATGCAGCGCATTTCTTAATATTATATCGATTTTTTTATTGCACATAGCTCTTAATAATAATAATAATAATATGAGAGGGTTCCAGCCAAGCGGTGTGTTACTAGACGTTGCGACGAGCTGAAGGCACTGCGATCCTGATCGATGATAGAATAGATGACATAGCATAACCCACATAACCCTTCCTCGCTTATATTACTACTTGTATGCAATTGTACGATTTGCTGTATCTTAATACAGTGATGACCAAAATTTATTGTATGTATTTTGTGGCACGCTAAGTAGTCGCAGGACATAAGTTGGCCTTAACTGCCTTAATATGAAGATGTTGAATCCTAATGCCTCTGCGACATGCAATGAAGCACCTGTCAAACTTTATTCCATCTAATCGAGACAAAGCATTGCAAAATACAGACATCAAGCCAACATTTCTAAAATCTTGCTCGACGATGTCAAAGAAGAAGAACTAACCGAGAGAAGCTGAAATTCATCTCACCGTAAAAAGTTCTGGTTAGAAAGCCAGAGCAACCGTAATATACGTGATGTGTATATAAGAATCAGCGCGAGTTCTCGATGGAAATTTATTTACTATTTTGATCTCGTGCTGTGTACATCGCTCCCGAATAAGCAGTGCTTATCTTCTAGTTTCGAATTTGTTTTGTTAACCTTGTAAGAGTGTCGAGTGTCAGGAAAACGAGAAGTACAGTACATTTAGTTGAATTAAATTACAAGTTTATCAATTAGATAATAAAATAGAAAAACCCGTCAAGTGTGTGGCGCAAAAAGTGTGAAAAGGCAATCAGCATGAGATTTACATATTTATCGTAAGACATCCAATACCTTTTATCATTTCTTTTATCCTTCTTTTTGTAAATATTTTTATAATGCTGTCAAGGAATCTCGGTGGGTGTTAAATTGTTTGTAACAACACAAACTCTATCATTAAATGAAGTTTTCTTGCTGAACATACTAAATGCAGTTTAATGGTATGTTTTGTACTCTGTTATGTGATGTAAAAGTGTTTAATGATAGAATTCTTTGCATAATGTAGCATGCAAGAAACATGTAAGACAAGAATCCTTAAGGCTATTTTCTTGATTTCTTTTAGATTTAATTTTATTCTTTAAATTTATTCCGAGAGGGCTAATAAAACTCAATCAATCAATCAATCAATCAATCAATTCTAACAATATTTTAAAATCCTATTCTCATCATCTCATAACTTGCAACATAATTTACGGATTTATTTATGGCTAATTTCATTTTTTACGATCTCCAAGATTATTTTATTATCAAATGCAATATAGCCATCTCTTACTTGAATGTAATGGATAATTAATGTTGTTGCTATGATTATTAATAAGCGGTACTTAAGGCAATTAAGCTGGTTTGACGATTAGTCATGAACATTAGATTCTAGCATCTGCTGATTGCAATCGGTGGTGCTGTTGCATGCAACCGGTTGTTCTCATGGGAATTTACTTTTTAATCCTGATTTTTTTTTTATTTTTTGATGAGCTACGATTAAGTGCAGAATAATTTCTTTAATATTAGAATCAGTGATGTGGCCAGGAATTTTGTCGTGACTCGTTTTGAACTTGTAATTTCTGCTCTACTGATACTGATTGAAATTCAAAGCTCAAATGTTTTGGACACATTATGTTAAAATATAATAAATCAAACTCAGTCTACAATATGATTTACAGCTTAGTCCTAATCACTTAGTTTGATAGATTTTCAACTCCATGTTGTTATTTGGCAGTTAAAATTAATTTAAAAGGTTTTATTTAATTTTTTAAGAATTTTTTAAAAAGAAAACCTTTAAAAAATCAAATCTGTCTGAATTTTAACTACAAAAATCCTTCCAAACATTTTTTTTAAAATTCCCAAAGTATTTTATATCTAAAACTATAATTAACAACATAAAAAGAAAAAGATATTCTTGGAAAATTAAAAATTCAGCAAAAAAAACTCTTCAATTTCTTCATTCCCTTTTCATTTTTTTCTTCCGACTCTTCCAGATTCTCTTATAAATTCTCAACATATTTTGCGATTCAGCACACGAAAAAAAAACTTTTAATTTCATTCGAAAAATTTCATTTTCTTTTCTTTTTGTTCGCTTTTCGTTCTCACTAAAAAATTCTCAAGAATTCCACAATACAGACGATTTATCTATTAAACTTTTTTTTATGTTGCATGCTTCGTAATAGCTTTAATACATAGTTCCATTCTTAGTTAGACGATCGTCATTGACTTGTTCCTTTTGTCTAGGTCAATAACGCGGTAAAACTAGGAGAGTGAGATAGAAAATGAGTAAGAATAGTGAAATGTGCACTAATAATTTGCAATTATCCTTTGTTTTACCATCATCGTTTATTAGCTACAGCCTCCAATTGTGTTTGCTGCATCATAATTTCTTTACTTTTGTTCTTAGTTGTTGTTTTTTTTTCTTGATCATCGTCTTTATATTTCTTGTGCTTGTGCTTATGCTTCCATTTCATTTTGCATAAAATATAATCAATATTTATGATAGAACATTTTTTTGAGTAGCAATTTTAATGCTTTAGTGATTTTTGATTGAATAGAATGAAAAATGATATAACTGACGATGAATTGTCTAAATGTCTGAATTAAGGTGATTCGGAAGCAACATTAAATAGTTTCTTGTAAAATTACCATCAATAACAGGTGCACAAGACTGACTGTTCCCAATTTCTAAAGTTTGTTCTTTGGCGTAATGCTGACATTGAGCAAGACTCGATCAAATCCGTTCGGAATATTTGTAATGGAACCAAAAACTTAAGGTTTCACATTCTATACTTAACGCATCTAGTATTTGAATAATCCTTCCTACTTTATTATAATCATTAAATCTGACCTTAATTTCGACATCTTAGCATCTATCCTTTAAATCAACATTGTGTTCTTAACGGTTCTTAAAGAAGAAAGTCATTTAAATGTTGTGCAATTAGAAAAGAAAGGTATGGAACTGTTCATTTAAAAAGTATTTTTGCAATAAATTTACTGCTTACGTTTAATGGAAACTTAGTTAAATCTAATTAGTTAAAGTCATTTCTTATGCCTCGCAAATATTAAAAGTAAATTCATAATTTATTCTTAAAATATGCGCAGAAAATTTTAAACATTTTCTTACTTTTTTTTTCATAATTGCGATGATGAAGCACTTTTGCTTTTAATATGTTCTTTCAATATCCACGCGGACACTAAGGCACAAACATTTTGCTTATATATATCGGATGCAATTATCATTGATTGAAGATGAGTCTTAAGTTCGGAGGATGTTTTATGGACAGAACGCATTAAAGTCTTGAAGCTAAAATTACTTGTTTAAGCTGTTTCTCTTCATAGTTTTGTTCTGGCATCTAAGCTCTGAAAATTAAAATGATGAAAATATTTATTTATGCAAAAAAAATGCTGAGAAAAAAAAATTGAAGAAAGGCTGCAAAAATTAATCAGAAAGTTCAGAAATAAATTTATAAACAATTACTAATAAGTTGAATAGAAAATATGATTTATTAAGATGGTCGTATAGCTCTGGTTTTGTGTTCAATGTGGTTAAGAATGCAGGTTTGTTGGATCTACCATTGGTGAAGCCAGAGAGAAGCCTCCTCACTAATACTGGTAGTTGCAACCACTTTTCCGAGTTTTTGCTACGTCTATTGAACCTTCGGCTGTTTATTGACTTTTAAAAGTGTTTAAAAAAATAAATACATAAAAGGTTAAGCTTATGCTAAACCAAATTGAGATAATTTAAACAAAAATCGTCTAAAGTAATTCATTAATTCATGTTTTAACCATGAATGTAAGCAAGAAGCTTTAAAAATTTATGAACCGTTTAGAAAAAAATGTTAATTACTTTCGCACTTGTTGATTTAATGGTCATTTTTAAAATTCCAAGATTGTTAAAATTTCCAGCCATTAAAAATTCGCATAACAGAGCATATACCAAATAAGATATTCTAGATGTTGCCATAACGATAGAGATAGGAAAGAATAATAAAAAAACGGGAGAAATGTTCATCGAACCCATTTCCATTAATTACCATTAAGATATTTTTCATCATTGCAATCATAAGAACAATTTTTCTCTTCTATTTCATATTTATTAATCCGGTGCTGATGCTGATGCGGCTGCAAAATTTATCATTCATTAAAACTTGAATTGCTGCGTGCAAAAAAAAATCTCAGTCTAATAATTCTCATCATGATGAGTAGTATCGATGTGATTTTTGCACAATTTAAAGTAGTTAAAATGGAATCGTTGCGGTCACTAGCATCGCATGATCAACAGCAACAACAACAACAACATCATCATCATCATCACCATCGTACAGCATCAGCGTTGCATGAAAAGGGAAAGCTGTCGAAAGACAGTAATGTTACGGTAATTCAAGTTTTACCAAGCGAGCGATCAAACCGTAGAATCGATAAAGTTATAAAGCGCAGAATTGACATACCAATGACATCAGATTTCAAAGTGCTGACACCGAGAGAAACAACAGATGCTAAATTGATGAAATTACATATCATAAATGTTCGTACGGGCAAAATACAAGATGCAATAATGCTAACGACTGGCAACAATGATGTATCTGATCATCCAAAGTCAAAGTCAAAGTCAATTCACAAAGCATCAGGTATACATACAAATTAAAGTTTTTATCATTAATTTCAGTTCTTTTCTCCTTCAATTTATCCTCTTCGATATAACTTCATCAATGCGAATAACATAAAAATGTGTACAATGTAAATGCACAAAAGACAACAGTGGAAATAAAGAAATAATTCGCATACAACCAGTGCATTCAAGTAAGCCCGAGAAAACATTGAATGAGATTAATATAAGTAAAAAATTTCCACTAAAACCTTATAAATTGCGCAACAAATTTACATCAGCAAAGTGTAAGTGTGAGGATACAGCACGCATGTGGAATTGTAAGAAAATTCAAATATCGATTGCGAATTGTAAAAGTAATCAATTTATGTGCTGTTCTTAAATGTTCCAACAAATTATCAATTCTTATTGGATGTACTTAATAATGATAATTTTTTAAACATTTTTCGAATTTTAATTTGAGATATTAATTCTAAGAATATTGTGAATTTATTGTGAAATTAATTTGTATGAAATATGAAACATTAAGTGTAAGATAACATTGTAAGTGAAACATTTATCAAGGAATAAAATGGCATATTATTAATTTTAATATAATTAATAATTGTTTAAAATATCTTTTAGAATTTTTGGAAGATTTTGTTTAATTCTATAAAATATTGTTTACTGGCATTTCTGGATCTGACTATCAAAAACATGAAAATTCATAAAATTTTAAAAATCAATGTTTTAAATCACAAAATATCCTTTTTCAATAAAATAACTAGAAAATCATAAAAACCTACTTTAAATACAAGATTTTAATCAAAAAATATTCTACCAAACTGACCTAGTGCATCTTAGCCTTAGAATCAATATCATCTGTGAAAAATTCATTGAACTTTTGCGATGATTTTTTTTTATCTATTTCTGTAATTAAACTAAGCCACGCTTCAAACGAAACCCTACGAAATAAAAAATTAATTAGAGATTCAAATTGAATCTTTTTGTTTATCATTTCAGTTGACTTTCTTTCTTGTGATACAGAAGATGTGCAATCCATAAATTTAGAAATTAAACAAGACACACGGTTTTAGTTGAAAAATTCGACATGAGTGTAAAGATACTGCGTTTTGCTTCTATTATTCGAAGGTAAGAAGAAGAAGTTTCGTATTTACATTTTGCTATGATAATATTAGTGAATATTTGTTATTTGTGCTGCATATTTTCAAGGAGAAATATTTTTGAAAAAAAGAAGAGCTTTTTAAGCTCAAATGATGTATTGAAAGAAATAAAAAGCTCTTATTTATTTGGAGTGATTTGATGTTTATTGCAGAATTTAATATTATCAGTAATCAAAATTTTATATTGAACATCGTTCGATTTATTATTCAGTGTAAGCTGCCTCAATACTGTTTAGAATTTGACAGTATTTAATTTTTGCTTACTAATGAAGGGTTCTTGGGTTCTAAAACCTGCAGAAAACTTTTAAGCTTTTTCAATCGTAGCTACTGAAAACGACGCTAAGATATCATTTTTAACTGTAGTATCTCAAGCATATGTGTATCACATATCTTTACGTTTATGTTTGTGGTTAGCGATATTAACTCAATTGTAATTTAATGTTAAAGTCAAGGCTCTCGCGGACCATAATTGACTTCATACAAAGATTTTTAATCTTCCATACAAAAAGATTATAATCTGCGGGAGTCTTGGTTAAAAGTCAACTCTTCAACACTTCTTTGGATCTCTTTCTTCAGTTTGGATTTTACAAAGCGCGGATGATTAATTTAAATCAACACTTTACAAGTACTTTTGTTTAAAATAAAATTTAACTTTTCTAAAATTTGAAAGTAAATCATTTTGTCACTTGAACCGAATCTTATCTCTAAAAATAAAAATGAACGATTTATTACTAACCATAATAAGTATGAATCATATTTACACATTGAAAATCAAATCATTGATTCACATGAAGAATGACTAAACATCAGTTGATTGACATCAAAATAAAATGAAATGTTGTTGCCATGCAGTAAAATATTAGACTGCTTTTATATTTTTTTAAAGTTATAAAAGTTTCTTTTTAAAAAGACATGCAAATATTTAAATTAAAATCTAACGGTTTTAGAAACTTAATTATTGTTTCGTTGTCTATAATCACGTTGCAATTTGTTTGACTCATCTCAAGAATCGCACCTTTTTCCAAGAAGTGCCAAGCTTTTATAAAAAAAAATAGTTTTAACAAGAATGACGCCTTAATGTCTCTTTGTAGCTTTTTTATCACCAAATAATTCAAGCAGCACACGAGAATAAACCACAAAAGCAAATAAACAACACAAGCCAAAATTGATTAAAATTCATAATTTTGTTTTAATCTTCAAAGTGATTTACAAATTTAATTTTTTTAATTTTTTGGTCAACTTTAGTAAATCAGCTGAAGAACTCAACAAAGGTTTTACATGAAATTTCAATAGATTGTATTAAGAGTAAATAAAACTGTTGCTAATATGATACCAAATGAACATTATTCACTACTTATAAGACGGAACACGGAACTCTTGAGAATCGTCATGATAAGAAACAATTTATTAAGATCATCAATTGAATAGTACGTGGTCTTTAGATAAGTACTTAATTAATAACCTCTTAAAGGACTTACTGATATCTTTTATTGTTTAATAAATATTTTCCAAATTAGGCATTAAGGGGGTGTTTTTAAAATGTTTAAAGTCACAGTTTTAAATTGAAAAATTTCTTCAAAAATTTTTTAAAATGCACAGAAAATTACCAGTTTATTCCAGTAAGAGGTCAAATCTGTTGACATAAATTTTTAAAGAAAAATAAACTTATCAAGAAGCCTTGAAAACATTCATCTTCAAAAAATTAATTTCTTTTTTTTTTTTTTTTTTTTTTTTTTTCATTTAAAAGCCTAAGAACTTTTATTGATAAAATATTCAAAATTCAATATGATAAATTATAAGTTTACAACGAATGTCATTGATTGAACATTATATACCAGACATATACGTCACTCAAATGGATAATAATTACTAATTTCAGACTTAATTCATGATATCTACGGTTTCACAGTAAACGGTATTTTAAAATTCAAATTATAACGTCTATTAAAAATTTATAACATATAGAAATGATCAGTTGCTAAGTTAAAACCGTTATTGCTCAGTTTCAAATTTAATTTCAGTAATTGTTTATGTTTGTGTTTAGTGGTGAATTTTCATAAATTTAATTAAAGAATTCTATTTCTCGTGCATAACTGCATTGGAGATACTAGTGATGCAACTTTCGACAGCAGGAACTTCTTCAATTTTGATTTAAACGATTTTAAATATTCAATATTTCTAATTTCTTCAGGTAAGGAGTTGTAAATTGATGCTCCAATTATTTCTATGTCATTACTTCTGATGCTTGACTTACTTTCATTTATTTTCAGGTGTTTCGTGTGGTTGGATCTTAATCTTTGGAATTGTATCAGTGCTTCATCATTTTCCAAGAGTGACTTCTTCACTTGACTGCATGTGGACATAAAAATCATTCCCATAACAGGAAGAACATTTGTGACATGCTTGGTGTAAAGTAAGTTGGTTGATGTTGTCGCTGGCAGTTTGTGTATTAACTTTATTATTCTATTTTGTAGTATTTGAAGACTTTGGATATCCTTATTGCTGCTTCTTATTAATACAAATGTTCCATATAGTAGATGAGAATTAAAATGTGCAAAGTAAAAGTTCATCAGTGGCTGTTTGGTAAGTTTATGTCTTAATACTGCAATTACACCAATGGCTTGATTGAGTTTCGTCTTTATGGATTCAATAAATCCATTAAATTTTAATTCGTTGTCAATATCAATTCCCAAATACTTCATTGACATTTCGACCTTTATACCACGAACATTCAGCACATTCATGACTAAATCATCTACCTCACTTCCAATTATCAACGCACAACTTTTGTTTAAGTTCAACTGAAGTAGATTATTTCTATAATATTCGGAAATTACATTCAGATCTTCATTTATCTCATTGGCACTTTGTTCATTGATTTCAAAAACTAGGACTGTATCATCAGCAAATTTGTAAATTTTCGAATGCGTGGATAAGCTTTTCATGTCATTGATATATATTGAGAAGAGAGGTGGACCTTTCTGTGTACCTTGTGGGACTCCTTCCTTTATCTCTCCAGGTTTACTTACTGTATCCGCGATTTTTACATACTGAATTCTATTAGTCAAAAAACTCTCCATTAATTTATTAGCTGGTCCTCTTATGCCATAATGATCTAATTTTGCGAGCAGAATTTCATGACTTATTGAATCAAAAGCTTTCGATAAATCTAATGATATTAATATAACTGATCTCTTTTTGTCCACTATTTTCGATGATTCCGACAAGACTTTCGCTATTATATCTTCACATGATCTGCCTTTTTTGAATCCGTATTGAAAATTGTCTAGAATTTTCTCATTTACAAGAAATTCCATTAACTGATGCTGCATAATTTTTTCTACTATTTTGTCTAGTGAGTTCGTGATGGAAACAGGTCTATAATTGACTTTGCTCAGCTTGGAGTCTTTCTTGTGAATTGGAACAACTAAGGTTTCTTTAAGTCTTTCCGGATATATGGACATTGAAAACATCTGATTGATTAATATTGAAATATGAATACAACATTCGTTGTTAATTTGAGTCCACAAAAATGGCGAAATATCATCAATTCCAGAGGCTTTACCAATATGTAAGTAACTTATAACTTCTTTCACATCATCTGGAGTAATCTCGTGAAATTTGAATTCATTCACGTTCCTCTCATCTATAATTTTTATTTCATGACATTTAGTTGAATTACCAACAATTGAGAGAAAATGTTCCTGAAATGTGTTTGCAATTGAGCTGCTGTCGTTAAATCTTACACCATTTTCTTCAAGAATAATGTTGTTTTTGACTTCATTTCTACCACTCAATTGATTCAGTATTTTCCAGGCTTCTTTGCTGTTCATGAATGTTTTATCCGAGTAATATGATTTCATTCTAACAGCTGCATAGTTGTCTTTTTCTTCAGTAATGAGTTTTAATTTAGATTTTAAATGAGTAACTGGTTTGTGTGATAATTTTAATTTATGAATTAATTCAGTCATGTTGTGAATTCTATTGCATAAATTAATGTAATTCATATCAATCCATTCGGGTACAGCCAGATTATTGTCCATAAATTTTAATGTGATTTTTGACGTATTATTTATAGTTGCATTTTTTATAAATCCTAAAATATCTTCGCATAATTTTGATGGATGAATATTAATAGGTATTGTGTGAAAATTCTGTTTTAGCTCCTCTATTACCCTTCTTTTGTTGACTTTTTCAATTGTTGTAGGCATTTTTGAACTAATGCTTGCCTGATTTTTTCCATACTCTGTAGCAATAATTAATTGATGGTCCGAGAATCCTTCAGTAATTATTTTGTTTGATGTAAGAGTCAGAAAATCATTACGACTTTTTTGTGTGATAACGTGATCGATAGTTGAGTGTCTTTTTGTAATTTTATTAAATCTTGTGACTGCTTGGTTGTAAATACGATAATTAAAATTGTCCAGTAAATTAATGTATTCATTAGAGTGGGTGCTGAGTGGTCCCGAATTAATATTTGTATTTAAATTAAAGTCACCTAGCATGACCGCATTCTCATCAATTCTCATAAGTAATGACTCTAAAGCAAGCATAAATGGTTCGAATTTTCCTGATGGTGGACGATATATTCCTATAATATTTCTTGGTTTATCGTTATCTTTTACTATTTCAAGGTGGAGTATTTCAAAATCATCAGTTAATTCCGAATAAACAATATGTACATTCAAATTATTTCTAGCATATATTCCAATTCCACCTCCTTTTCTGTTTGGTCTTAAGAGACTGAATAGCTTAAATCCTCTTAAATTGTATGGATTAAACTTGTTGTATTTTTTCCCCATTTCTATAATTATCACAACGTCGATTTTATTAGATATTTGCGATTTTGTAAACATATCTGCCCCTATAAACTCGTTATCTTCTATTAAATTGATTATTTCACTTAATTTTTTCAGCTTCCGATCATTTATTGTGTTGATATTCCATAGCATCATTGTAAAAGGAGAGTCAAAAATATGATTGGTAAGAATATCTTTTTTATTAATATTATCTTTAATTTCTTCTAGGCTGAATAAAGTTGTGGTGTTTGGAACAAGTGAATTAACATCCAGAATAACTTCCTTTTTGAAGTGTTTTGATTCTTCTGGTGCTTTTGAAGATAATAAGTTTAGGGCCACACTTCATTGGTTAATTTCTACTACCGATGCATCCATAAATTCATCATCTGACGGCATAACTTCCTCCTCATCGAAATTTACTGGAGCTTCTTTATATTTGGTACGTATCAATTGTCTATCATTGAAACTCATTTTAAAATAATCACCGTTGTATGTTTCACTTGCTGTAACCGTACAATTGAAATCATTCAGTTTTTTACGCAACATGTCAAGTTTCCTTATTGAATTAACCAGAGTCATTGATGTTTTTTTATCCGGCTGATTATAACTGTCTATTTCTCTGTGATATACTTTAATTCCGTCATTTGTGATAAAAACTCGATCAATTATTTCAAATCTACGCATCTCATTGCATGGCTTCAAGATTTGTCGAATATTATAAGACCAATCATTGCTGACTTTATACCTTATTAGATGCTGCTGTTTATTCTCTTCAAGCATCTTGTTGAATTTTATAATTCCATTTTTTACAATTGTGGCCAATGTTGAGTTCACAAATATACAACATAAAGATATTTCAGGGATGAGCTGATCAGCAGAGAACTTGCGCGATTGGAAGTAAAAAGATTCAAGCGGGTATTGTGACGTATTCAATGAAATGCTTAGGTGCGTTAGAATTTTTTTGATAGCTGCATGACTGTTCTGGTTACGTGCTTCCTCTGCGTCATTCTCATATATAAATCTTATCCAAATTCTTCGTAAATCACGGGAACATGCTTGAGTAGTTTTTAGGCATTCAACTTCATCGTTCTTTTTGACTTTTTCAATCTCCTTCTTGACATAATTTATTTCGTTGCTGATGAAGGATGTGCAATCTTTAAGTTTGTTTGTAAATGAGCCAATTATTACCTTATTTTTATGATCCATGGCACTTTTGAGTTGAAGTACTAAATCTAGCATAATCTTATTCATTTTGCCCATCATTTTGAACATATCCATGTAATTTATCTCATCATTTTGTAGCAGTGAGTTAAATTCGGTTGAAAGTACATTTGCTTGCGATAGAACCTCATTTAGTTCTGTTGATTCAATGTCAATATTATCGGCTGATTGAGATGGATTCGTTTCATTGTTGGTGCGATTAGAGTTGAATCTACTTGTGCGTGTATCGTTAGATCTACTGAAAAATGATTCTATCTTTTTTTGTTTTCTATTTTCAGGCGCATTATAGTGCTTGGATTTTTGGACCAACTTCTTACTATTATATAGGTTGACGACATCAGACGGAACAGTTCCTGATCTTTGTAAGCTGTTAGATGTTGAAGCCATATCGGATAAACACAACTTTAAATTGGATGAGTTAAAGTTCAATATGAACTTGGTGATGTAAAGTCAAATGACTTATTATTTTTTTTTCGATATGAAAAAGTGAAAATTAGTTCAATATGAACTGCTTGTACAAAGTCAAATGACTCGGTTGTATATATATTTTTTCAATATGAAAAATAATTAGGAGGCGAGCAATGTGATATGTGTTGAGTTTTTATAAATTGATTCGGAATTCAACAAATTTACCAAAACCGTTAAGTTTTGAAAGGAAAAAAAAAATCCAACTTGTTCGATTGATTTCACCAATTTAAGGCTAATTTCACCTTACGCGTGTCGTGATATTTACTTCAACTGGATTCTTTGTTCTCCAAATAATTCAATTTCCTCTGTCTAATTAATAAAATAAGTTTCCTTCATTAACGTTGTTCAATGAATGATAAGTGATTAATTTGTTCCTTTGCGTTCGATGTTTAATAATGCTTTTTTTAATTAAGATATCAAATGATAATTCTTTTGTGGTGATTTTTTTTTCGTGCTTTTTAATTCTCGAGTCTTTAATTAATCTTTTAAGAGATTTTGGTCGCTGTCTTCGATTTTTATTTACGATATTACACTTTAATTATTGATTTGGTATACTTTTTATTATTTAATTACTTCGCAGTCGCGATAAATCAATAAAATATGTAAGAGCTGTTTCTTCTAATGTAAAAGCTTAATGGATGTCAAAACTTTGATTTAATAAAAGCTAACACACGCTGCCCTTATTAATCATCATTTGATCTTATCATTATGTTGACAATTTATTTGATTTTGACAACAATGCTCAAATTAAATAATTGAGATCACTATAGTTAACCAAGCAACGCCGTCTGCAAAAGATAAGACAAAGATTTTTCATTTGCGCTCGATTGATCAACGAGGTGAAGTAATCTATTAAAAACAAGAAAGTTCCGAATTCGAAACATCGACACAAAATGAACGAGCCTCAAAAAGACTCGTTAAATAAAAACAGAACGAATGAACTGAGAACTGATAATTTTCTTCTTTCGAGGCATAAACGAAAACAAAACAATTTTGTGTGTATGACGAAAAGAAACTCCAAAATGCTTTAGGTTCTGTTTCGTTATCTTATCATCGTCTTTAATGTTGATGAGTTTTTGAGTATTTGCTTGTAAAAATGTTTTTAACCGCGATTCTATATGAAATACAAGGCGTTAACGACAGAGAAAAGAAGAACTATAAGCCTGAAACAACAACAACGACAGTCATGAGTTCGCTGTATATTTATATAAAAATATCGTCAGTTAGCAACAAGCAAAACTGATATCGTAGAAATGAATACACAATCAAAACAAAAGGCAAGTTTTAAAAGAGTGGCGTGATGCTATGTGTTCATATACATATATAAGAGAAGCATTTTCACCATTTCGTTTGATTGTCTCTAACTTATTTATAGATACTGTTTCAGCTGATATGTGAAATTCGAGTTTAAAACTTCAAAAATGCCTGCTTGCTTACTTTCCTGATAATTGTTGAAAAAATACAGTTCACTTTACTTATTTCTATGCCATTAATTAAGAACATGATTCATAGAAAATCCAAGGGCATTAATCATTTTGTGATTATTAAACTATAGAACTGAATCTTGATTCTTTAGAATTTATGTAATATTTTTGCTGGAAATTACAACTTGATCATTGAGTTTTATGTGGAAAATCCTGAATTATTTAATCTAATTTAAATTTCTGTTTAAGGCGGGATAAAACCCAAGTGTGATAATGTCTTGATGGAATCTCAGTTAAAATGAGAATCCTTTAAAAAGTTTCCAAATCGAATATATATATATATATATATTGCAGTTCCTAAAGTCACAGATAATCAGCCAATCTTTAATTAAAAATAACACTGTTATCCCTTTTTAGATCCTTGATAGTAGGATTACAATTCATACTTCTTTATTAATGTAAAAAAAAACTTTATAAGGAAAAAATTATAAGCTAATTAATAAAATTGATGTTTTTCCTTCCAAATCTCTTTTATTAAAGGGAAATGCTTATGTCTTTTCCAAAAAATAACAAAAAAACATTCTATCCTGCTAACAAACCTCATTATTCTCATGCCTTTTTAACTTTTGTCCACATGATCATTCAAACGTTTTAAAACTCATGGCCTATTAGCCTGTCTTTATTTATTTTATCAGCACCAAGCTATTGAGAGCTTCTTTCTTCTTTCAAAATAAAGAAGATCATGAGACACTGATAATGAATTGGCTTATGATGAACTTATGGTCAACATTCGGTCCTATCAATATGAAATTTATTGTTTACTCATCCTTGATTGAGAACTTGCTGTCGTATGGCAACCAATGAACTTCAAAATTAATGATCCACGCAAACTTAAAAATATGACAATCGTCGAGCAAAGAGATTTGGAAGAGATAATCACAAAAAATGTTTTTATTTTTGATGCTTATTCCTGCTTGCGGGATAGGAAAATTCCATTGGTATATTCGGTTAGTGATTCGAAAAAGCTAAGAAATAGGTGTGAAGTGAAATTAAATTTAAGACGGCAATTAAAGAGTCACTTAATTTTGGTACTAAAAGGACAATGTCCTGATAAACACTTTCATTGTCTCGAGATTTTTAATGTAATTATCAAAAGTCAAAATGAGGTGATCTTTTAATATTTCGAATGAAAAATAAGGCAAGATGAGATTAAAATTTGATTATTATTATTATTTTTCTTTAAACAGACTGAAACGGAACAGATAAAAACGAGGGCTCGTCTCATTTTTAAAATTTATAAATTCAACAAGTTTTTGATTGTGTATAATTAAAACTTGTTTGGAGATTATTGAAAGGAGAAACAATTTGTTCGCTGATTATTTTTGCTGATTAAAATTAGTGACATACTTGTCGTGGACGTTTAATACATTTTTGTGATATTTGTCTAATTGTCCATTTTTGATTCGGTCTTGGTTTCAAATATATCATTAAGAATAATGATATTAAACACTAATCAAGAACCTAGCTTAAAAAAAGTTTCTGAATTCATGGCGCCAGAAAACTAGCACACGTCAAGAATTCCCAAATCATTTAAAATCACCTGATCAAAACTATCTAATATATAATGTAAATATTTTATTCAAACAAGTTTTAAGCCTCCTTGAATATGCAAATAAATTCATCCCGAATGTTTAAATAAATTCTTTTTTAATGGTTCTCAAGAATAACCGAAAAAAAATCATAATAAAAACAATAATGACCTCGGTTATATTTAGAACAAGTTTTTCAAATTTTGATGATTTGAATAAATTATTATTTAACGACCATTTTTGACATTCAAAAACCTGTGAAAATTTTGTATAGCAGGTTAGTTTAAAAGGACAGAGTCAAGAAAATTAAAATTTAAATCCTTGACATCATGAATTAAAATTGTTTTGAAATCAGTACAAGGTTATTACATATTTCTTGTTCTCGAGACTGTTCCTGTACGTTTTTACATTACATTCAATACAGTTGGATGAATCTGATATGTTTTATTTTGCTTCTTGAATGTATCATGTGGATAACTTCCTCAAAATTAACGTTAGTTCTTAAAAAAGCAAAACTTAAAATTATCAAAAGATAAGCAATTCAATTCAGGGTTAGCTAACTGTTCTCTGGACCAGGAAGTGTCTAATAAACATTTTTTGTATGGATTTGTCCTTGAAACTGCAGATAACATGTGTCACAACATTTAGACTTTAATAATGTTTATCAAGCACTTAAAATATTTAATTGAAACCTATTTATCTAAAATCGATCCTGAGTATTGCTAAGGTTTATAAGCACCAACATACAAGAATCAACTAAAACCTTCTCAAAACTTCTTGATCATTGTTGATCCTGCTTTTGCGTCTTTTGATCTTTTCAACATCTTGACGCATGACAACAATCGGCTATTAATTTCAAGACAGACATAAGTTTTTTGTTGACAAATTAAGAGAATTATCAAGTATGGCAAGTGCTATAAACATTTATTATTTATTTATTTTGTATAAATGAAATTTTTTTGCTGATTATTTTCTGTCTGATGAAATTTTGTATATTTTTTCAAATGGTGATATTGGAAAGGTTTTTTGTTGCAAAAATCAAGAAAAACGGGATTTTTTTTATTCTGTAAGCTTTTGAAGATTTTTATTGTGAAATCTTTAGAATTTGAAATTAATTATAGATCTCTAAAATCACAGTTTTTTGTTCAAAATATCATCATAAACTAAGAAGCTAAAATTAAGTTTTCAAAATCAAAAAACTCCAAATATTAGGAAAGTTAAATTCAACTTAAATTCTAAAGATATTTGGTGTTACTACATACTCCAGGCAAAATTGTTTAAATTAAAATCCAAAGCAGAGAAACCAGAAACCGAGTTGAGTCCAAATGAACCTTCATAAAGCCTGTAGAAACCTCTCCCTATTTTAAAGGCACATTTCATTTTTTCACAGCCACGTCAACCTCTTAAAATATAAAACAAAACAATTCTTAAAATCAAATTATCACCTCAGTTACTGTCACATCACACACTCAATTGACATGATCGTCAAATAAAATCAAAACTCTGTAACATTTTCAATGAGTCATGAATCATTTCACTTCACAATCATCTCAATTAGAGCAGCGCGACAACTCAAATTTATCAGAATCATTCAACGAGTTTATGATCAATTCAACTACAAATGTTTTGTTTTGTTCCTTTACACACAAATTTTTATCATTCAACAATCAGCTGTTTTTACTCAAACAACACAGCTGAAATGAAACGAAAAGAGAACGACAGCGAAGTCTTACAATTTGTTTGTTTTGTTTTGATAATTTTCATTTTACTTTTCGATGTGACTAGCACTTGACAACAGATGAAAAAAATACTTTGAAGCCGGCAAATTTTTTATAGAGTTTTTGTCGCTTGTTGTTTTGCAGGATTTATTGAGAAGCTCTTTTGATTATTGAAGATAAGAAGAAAT